GCCTCTGCAAGGCTGCTGCACAGCTTTAGTATAAGGAGCTGCTCATGGAGGGAATGGCTCAATGGTTCAGTCCCTCCGTGTCTCGTCAGCAGCACACGCCACGGTGTGCCTTGTCAGAGGCCTGGACCAAGCAGAAGCACCGGGCAGGAGAGGAGGGGGGCGGCCGAGAGAAGCTCTTCCAGGATTGGCTTCTGAACAGCAGCCAAAGGGGGGAGGAAAAGGCCTCTGGTGGTGCTGCTGCTGCTGCTGGGCTCCAAAGAAAAAAGGGGGGACGGGAAGCACCCCAAGGTCAGAGAGGAGCAAGCCGGACACAGCGAGGCCTGCGGTGTGGCTGCTGCCTCCACCACCAAGGGAGCCAAAGGAAGAGGGGGCAGCTTTTGGCAGAGAGTCCTTCCAGTGCACCCCTCCCCACAGTCTTTCTTGAGCTGGACCAGGCCTGAGAAAAGGGGGCTGGGGTGAGGAGGTCTTGCTGGGGATGAACCAGCCAGCGGTGCTCCTGGGTCAGCAGAACAGGGAGAGGGCAGGGCAGAATTCCTGGCTGCTACCCTGGGAAGCTGCTTATTGCTTTGCACAGATGCCTTCCCCCCCCCCTCGTGAAAAGCCCCAGTTGCCACGTGGAGAAACGAAGGAGGGGAGGGGGGGGCTTCCTTGATTCCCAGGAGCAGCTCAGCAGGTCTTCCCCACAAGGAGTCTTGTATCGCTCCCTCCGATTGAATGCCGGGAGGTCCCCTTCCAATCCTCCTCCTTGCTCTTCCCTGCTTAGCTCACCACAGCTTCCTTCAGCAAAACGGACCCAGCCGGGATTACCATCCAGCCTGGTGGCAGAGTTTCAGCGGTTGCCCCTGAGTTCATGCCAGTGGACAGGTCTAGGACGCCCCCGGGGAGCAGAGAGAGGCCATCGGTGGTTGCCTGCAGCCTGGCCAGTTTCACCCTCTCACTGGCCTCCTTGCATCGGCTGCCGCCACCAATGTCGCCTTTGAAGGGCCGGCCCCCGCTCTCCTGCCCTCGCTCGACAGCTGCCTTGGCAGAGGTGCCAGCCAGCAAGGACACCACTGGCAGCCCCAGGCTGCTCACTGAGAAAGGGGAGGCCAGCAGGGGGTTCTTGGCCAAGTTCAAAGGGGCAAGCGTGGGGCTGGGCAGGCCCGCGATGGCGGCCGTGCCCAGCCCACCGCAGGCTAAGGTGCTGAGATCCAGGGGGGCCTGGGGGAGAGGGAGGGGCAGGCCATGGCTGCCAAAGAGGGCGGCCGGGTTAGGCACGATGATCTGTGCCCCGCCAAGGTAGGGTCCGTTGGCCATGAGTGGGGCTGCCTTGGTGGGGGACTGCAGCTTCAGCAGCTCCTGCTGCTCGCGGGTGATGAAGTGCCCGTGGGCCTTGATGTGCTTACGGAGGGAGCTGGGGTCGGTGTAGCGCTTGTGGCAGCCGGGCATCTTGCAGTGGTAGGGCTTGTCCACGTAGTGGGTGCGGGTGTGCTTGAAGCGGTCGCTGGAGTTGGAGTAGCGCTTGCTGCAGCCTTCGTAGGGACAGAGGTAGGGCTTCTCCCCTGCAGGGAAGAAGAAGAGGAGCAGGGCTGTCCCAGGGAAGAGGGTCAAGGGAGGGCCCCCCCCGGCCACCCCTTCATCCCACTGGCCTCTGCAGCCGCCGTCTGGGGCCGGTTGGATCCCGGCACTTGTGGCCCATCCAGAGGCTCAGGACGGTCTGGGGAAAAGCCGTCCTCCTGGGACTCACCTGTGTGGGAGCGGTTGTGGATCTTCAGGTTTTCTAGCCGGGAGAAGCTCTTGTTGCAGGTGGGGCAGCGGTGGGGCTTCTCGTTGGTGTGGGTGCGGATGTGGATCAGCATCTTGTACCTGCAGAGCAAAAGCCGCTCGCAATGGGGGGCAGGGGGGGGTCTGGCACCTTTCCGCCCCGGCACCTCAACAGCCGGGAGTGCCTGCTGGCCCAATGCAGCCTCCAAAGATCCCGGGTGGCAGAGAGTCGGCTGACAGGGGGGATTTAGGCAGACGCCGGGAGGCCAACGTGATGGCCGTGTGGATCCCCTTGGAGCATTGCTGAGCCGTGGCGTCATCCCAAGGGAGGCCCCACACCTTCCCAACAGCACGGGAGCAATTACCTGGCGTTGAAGCCCCGGCCGTGGCGGGCACAACCCTCCCAGTGGCAACGGTAGCCAGCATCCTTCTCTGGCTTCACGTGGAAGTCGTTGACGTGGTCCACGAGGTCTTGCAGGAGCTCAAACAGCTGGTTGCACTGTGGGGGGGTGGGGGGAGAGCGAGGCCTGGGGTGATGGGAGAAGAGCACAGACCCCCCCCCGCTTGGCAGAGGCGGTTTTGGAAGGAGGCACTGCTCACCTTCGACCAACGGCACACCAGCTGCTTCTGCCCAGCCGGGTCCAGGGAGAGCCGCTTCTCCTTGTGGGGCGCCAGGAAAGTGGGGGCTGGCAGGTGCAGGGACCCTCCCGAGTTCAGAGGCAGGAAGAACTGGAAGGAGCTGCGGAGACTCTCAAGGTAGCGCAGGGACTGCAGGTCCTGGAAGGGGCAGGGGGGGCGGTTGGCAGTCCATCCCGTCTCCCAGGCCTGGCAGCAGCGGAGGACGCCGGGCTCTTCTGGGAGAGCTGGAGGCAGCGGCTCAAGAAAGCTGCTGGGTGTGGCCAGGGCAGGGGGAGTCCCTCTGCTCCCCCCCCCATCTTGCTCAGGAGTGTCATTAGGCCCCCCCCTCCAAAGCCACCAGGGGAAGGAGGGGGGGCGGGAACTTCCACGCGCAGAGCCTGGTGGTGGGGAGGTTGCCGTGTTCTTCATCCCCAACCTTGGGGGAGATTCAGGAAAGCTTGTGAGCCCCCTCGGGATGTGCGGCAGAGTTGGCACACCCATCCCCCCCCATCCCGACACTTACGCGCAAGCTGGCACAGTTCACCAGCCCCCCGCTGCTCTGCCTGTCTGGGGAGGCGGAGGTGTTGCCGCTGGGAGGGCTGTCCCGGCCTGGTGGAGAAGGGGACAGGCTCAGATCAGCGGTGGGAGGCGAGGAGAACCGATGGTCTCTCTTGTCTTGGCATTGGGGATGTGGCTGGAGGCCTGGAGGGGGCAGAAGACGGATCAGGATCAGCAAGTGGGGCACCCCTTTCCCACCAGCAAGGGAGCAGCCCCCCCACCCCGCTTCCCTGCCTGCTACTCACCCTCCGGAGGAGAAGGGGGGGAGCCTGGGCCCGCTCCCAGGTAGCCCTCGTCCTCTGAGATCTGGCACAGAGCACGGCCCTTGGTGCTGCCGCCCAGGGCCCAGTCTCGCTTCTCTCGCCCAGCCGGCAGCTTGGAGACGCTCAGCTTGAGGTCCAGGGGCTCGTCCAAGGAATGCATGGGGGGCCAGCAGCGAGGGAGCAGACTGCTCTGGTCAGCTGGGCTGGACTCACTCAGGGGGGCCTTCTGTCACCCTGCAGGGTATTTGGAAAGGCAGGGATGCCCCATTTGCTCCCACCAGGCCAGGTCTGCCAGCCCCCCCCCCCCAACAGACCCTCTGGCTCCACCTGTCCCAAAGCTGCTCCACGGGGAATCCAGCAGGAGGTTCGCCCCCCACCCCAATGCTTACTACTTCTATGGGTGCAGGAGGAGGCTGGCCTGGGCAGCCGCCTCCCCTCTGCAGAGAAGGGTGCCAGCGGTCAAGCAGGTGGGGAACCCAGCTGGTTGCTCTCTGCCCTCCTCCCGCTTCACTAACCAAGGCCCCCTGAATATTTGGGGCACAGTGGGGGGCAGTTGGCCGTCCAGCTCCCCTGCCTGGCTTCAGGCTTTCACTTTGTGGGTGCCAGCGCCCCCTCCCCCACAGGAAGGTCTTCCAATTGCAAACAGCTGCGCCTCCTCCTTGCCTGCAGGCGGTGGAGCTGCAAATGGGGGGAGGGGCTTCCTGGGGAAAAGGCAGCAGCGAGGCCCCCCGGAACCCCCCCTCCCCCTCTAGGCAGAAGGCAGCCAGGGGGCGGAGGGCAGCCGGGCACAATGCGACCCCTGGGGCTTGGCGATGGAGCGCCGAGACTCGCTAAAGCCGCTTTCAAGGGGCCTAAGAAACCCCAGCGCCCCCTTCAGGAGGGAGGGCTTCTGGGGGGGGGGCGCCAAGGGCAAAAGGCTGCTGGGCTCCCGAGGACCGCTGCTGCCGCCCATGCACAGCCAGCGCCCCCCCCTTCCGATGCGGCCCCCTCCCCGCAGCTCGGCTGCCTGAAGCGGCGCCCGGACTGCTCCGGGACCCAAGACGGCGCAGCCTCCGCGCCCTCCCGGCGAGCCAAGCGGGCCGGTTGCTGACACGTGTCTCCTCCTTCCTCCCCCTCGCCAGGCCGGTCCCGCTGAGCGCGCCAAGGGCCGCCAGCCTCCGCCCTCCGGCCCCGCCAGGAACGCCGCTTCTGACACTTCCCGTGCTCCGAGGGCGCAGCCGGGGCTCTGCTGCCGCCGGCGCCCCTTGGAGTCGGTTCCGCCGGAGGCCGCCCAACCCCCCCGGGCGCAGGAAGGGGCGGCGGGCGCTTCCCTCCTCGGCCAGGGCGCCGGCGGGCAGTGAGGGCCCCCGCCGCGCCCTCTCCGTGTGCCTGGCATGCCGCGCCCCCCGCCCGGCTCTGGGCGGCACCTGCGAACTCACCCGACCCGGATGGCGCAGGCCGGCTCCTGCTCGCCCTCCCCGCCGGCCTTGGCGCTGGGCCCGGCCGGGCTGCGGCTCAGACATGCTGGAATGCGCAGGCCCCTCCCTGGAAGTGGGGGGGGGGGGGCAGCCAGAGGGAGAAGCACCTCGGCGAGGCCAGCGCCGAGTCTGCAATGCAGAGGCGGGGGAGGGGCTCTGAAGCGCCTTTGAGAGAGGGGCAAAGATCCCCGCAACGCCCCCGCCCCCCCAGGCGCAGGCTGAGGCCCAGTGGGGGGGGCGCTTCTGGCCCGGAGCTACCCCCCCTCTTCCTGTGCCTGGGGGGAGGGGGGAGGGCGGGGAGGAAGGAGGTGCAGCCTGCCTGGGCGCACAGCAGCTGGAGGGGAGAATGCAGGTGCCAGGCCTCAGTGTGGGCCTCTCCCGGAGGAAGCCCTGGCTTCACCCAGCCCCTGCCCTGACACAGCGTGCATCTGGCACAAAGGGGGCTGGAGGGCCTACCTGCTACAGGACCCACGAGTGTGTGAGTGCACCCAGAGGAGAGACAAAGGCCGCGCACACACAAGGACGCCACTGGGAAAGATCAGACGGCATCCCCTAGGATCCCCCCCCCTTTCAGGATGCAGCCCACAACAGGGCAGGCGTAGTTCAGGGGGACCCTTGCCCACCTGCTCTGCCTGTTCGGGTGCTCACCCTGCACCATTCCCACAGCCTTTGCCCTCCTCCAGGAGGAATGCCCGAGCAGAGTCCAGCCTACCCCAGAGGCCTGTCGTTCTCCAGTGCCAGAGCCTCCTGGCAGAAGAGCCTCCGGCCGGCACTATCAGCCAAGCCCATGGTCAGGGGCCTCCAGAGGGCAACAAGCATTGGTGGTCAGGGCCCCAGGATGCTCCAGGATGCCCAGGGCACAGAGAGTCTGGGGGAGGCACCGTTTCCCAGGCGGGGAGCCTGGAGTGCCAAGGGAGGAGCTGCCGCCCCTGCTGTGCAGAGCAGCCCTCTGCCTCCATGAAGTCTGCCCTCCCCGCCCCCACCCCGCCATATTCCAGTGGCCTCTCACTGGATTCCTGAGCTGCTCCCAGGAGCTGGGCTGGGTGGGACACTGGATGGGAAGCAGCTCCCCGCCCTGCGAAGCAGCAGCAGCAGCAGCTGCCAAACCAAACTGGCCCCAGAGCAGAACATTCCTGGGAACAAGCCTTCCCAGAATCCAGAGGAAGTCGACCGAGGGAGCCACTGGCAGGAGGGGCCGGCAGGCCTCCCTCCACAGATGTGCAGAGGCACCTAAGCCCCCTCCAGTGACGGCTGACGGGGCGGGGGGGGGGAAGGACAAGGAGGAGCGGCAGACGGACAGAAGCTGTCCTGCTGGCAAGACCCCCCCCCCAGCTCTTTCCTTAAGGCTCGGAGGCTTCAGGGGGGGGCTGGACGGCTGGGCATTCGGGCCAGAGCTGCCCCCACCTACTCCATGCCTGGCCGCAGCTCCCTGCTCCATCCCTGGCAGACCCACCTCACCACTTCCCTCCTGTACTGACTCATATCAACGACAGCCAGGCAAGGGCTGGATGTGGTCAGGAAGCGGCCAAGAACACAGAGGCAGCTCTCTGGGGCGCCCGTCTTCCAGCACTGGCACCCCGGAGGGTTCTTCCAGGCACTCCCATTGTCCAGGACGGCACCCCTGGCGGGGGGAGAGCTGTGGCCGGACACGGACCACACCACTCGAAGAAGGCCGCCTACTCAGCCACCTCTCTGCTGAGGGAGGCAGTTTAAAACCAGCAGCTGGTGCCTCTGCCTGGCTTTCAGCGGCCAGCTGGCCAGCCGGGGTGATGGTGGGGGGAGTCCCCAGCCAAATTCCCCACTTTCCCTCTTTGCTGAGGGGCTCCACGCTCAGGGGCCACACGGAGAAGTAGCCACACGGTTTAACAGAACCACAAGCCACTAATCCTCCTCAACTTCAGTTAGAGAGATGGAGCTGCAGCCACATCCATCTCGTTCCCTGTTCTTCCCCTCCACGAAACACGACTAAAACTGCCCTCCTGGGGATCCAGATCAGCCTGAACCCACAGCACTTGCTAGTTGAACTCGATACCCAAAGCCCACCTAGTAAGGATGGGGAGGGGGGCACTGCTGGGGCCTTCTGGCTGGGAGTGTCTGGAAGTCCCTCCACGCATCAGAGGAGGAGGCTCTGTCCAGCTGGCCCACCTGGGAGGCGCTTTCCTCCCACTCGGCTCCAGACCTTCTCGACTGGGGCCCCCGCCTGCTCTAAACTGGGCAACTGGCAGCCCCCCCCCCATCTGCCCAGCACAGCCCCATCTTCTCAGACATGCAGAGGCCCAAGTTCAACCCACGGAGCTGGCTGAAACCTCCCCAGGGTGGAAAGGTTGGGAAAGCACCACACTTGGGGAAGGCACAGGTGGGATTTGGGGCGACTTTGCCTCAAGCCCCCCAGAAAGCCATGCGCAGTGCCTGGGTGGGGAAGGGATCCATCCATTGGCAGCACCCCCTCTGCTCGGTGGCCAGCTGACCTCCCTTTCCTACCTATCTCACCTCCGTATGTCCTGCCCTCACCCCCACCCGAGCATCAGCCCTGCCTCCTTGGATGCAAGACAGCCAATGGCGCCCTGGGTGACCACTTCACCTGGGCAGCTGTCAGGCCCCAGGAGGTCTGCTCTAATGCAAATTCAGCGGGGGGGGGGGCAGGGGTAAAGCGGGAAGGAGACCAGCATGCCCCAGGCCGTTTAGTGAGGGGCAGCCCTGGGAGGACTCTGCTTTTGGGGGGGGGGTGCTTGGCAGCCTGGCGAGATGGCTGGAAGCCTTTTTCTCCCTCCTGCCCCTTCTGGAAATCAGAGGCAGCTGGACACATGGACCTGCAGCCTCTTCGCAACAGGCAAGAAGGCCGATCCTGCACTGACCAGTGCCCCACTTACGCCCACGGCTAGCCCCTTAAATAGCTTTAGAGAAACGCAGCCGAGAGTCAGATCCTGAGAATCACCCAGAGCCGCCCCACTCCAAAGCCAGGGGGCGTCAGCCAGGGGGCAGGAAGAAGATTGATCAAGGGCTGGGGAAGCAATCGAATCCTACCAGTTTCAGCCATTGGGAGTCTCCAGCATGATGAGAAAGGGGGGGTTCTCAGGGCCCCCAGGTTTCCCTGCCCATATCTCAGCCACACTGGCTCCACTGAGGGCACCCCTGCTCCCCCTCCTGCCCTCCAAGATGCCGCTCCTGGCTGCAGGGCCCATTCAACCACAGACAGTGGGTAAGAGGTCAGCCCTGGCGAAGTGGGGAAGTCCATTGCCAAGGAAAGGGAGGGAGGCCAGGCTGAAGCACAGGTCTCCATGCACAGAATCTTTCCCAGAAAAGGGGGGGGGGGGCAGAAAATGCCAGTGCTGTGGAAGACACTCAATCAGGCCGGGAAGGGTGAGGGATTGGGGAGGGGGGGGTCACCTCTGTAGCTCCCTGCTCAGGTGAAGCTGGAAGAGCATTGACTAGAAGGGGAAGGAGAGGCAAGGTCAAGGCCACCTCCCACTCTGGGGAAGCCGCCTGGCCTTCTAGCCAGAGTGCCCATAGCGTGGGCAATGGCTGTCCCTGGCACCTTCCATTCTATGCTACAA